ATACATCCTATCCTCTCTTCCACATCAAAACAGACCATGCACCTTCTTTTTTTTTTGAAGTAGCATTTGATTCTAGTGGTGCTTTCCACTTTAAAAATGCATTTTGGCCAGAAAAATAGGAGAAATTATCTGCTGAAGGTTGCTCTGGAATCATCAAATTCTACTTCAAAAAAAAAGAAGGTGCATGGTCTGCTTTGATTCTGGAAGAGAGGATAGGATGTATGCATGTGCAGGAAGAGGGGAAGGGCAAAATGTCAATTCTCATAAATTCTTTCCCAGTTTATTTGTTACAAACTCTTTTTCTTACATGAATATGCACACTCAGACACTTACATAACTCCTAAGACGTATCTAGACCATACTGGACAGTTCTAGACACACACTCCAGTCAGATTCCTTTTGTGACTTATATGACTCTTATGACTCTTGTAGACTAGATATGACTCGTATGACTCTACACAAGTCATACAAACTCATACTTTTGACTCATACCCTTAGTATATAAGTAGGGTACTTTCGTTTGTATTCGGTAGCTTGAACCTAGGCAATCAAAGCTTTAGTTCTCCCTCAGAAAACCTCAGAAACTAAGATCACCCTCGAACTCTATAGTCTTTCGACTTAGAGCCTCTTTTGAAACCTTGATGATAAGTCTTCAACGTCAAAGACTTAATACATGTTTGACTTAACAGAAGTCAGCATATCATAGAACCTTGGACTGACCTTTGGGCGCAAGGCTACTAGAACCTACCGTGTCACTTTAAAGGGCTAAGCGAACATTGTAGTGACCCACTTTGTCTCAACGACGAGAACTGTGGTAGACGAACGAACAATTGAACTCGAAAGCTTAACATAACTGCCCATTACACTTAATAACCGTAACAAAAGGTTCAAGCTTATCCCAGAACAGAAGGCGCATCACTGCCCTCTACCCGAATTAGACACACTGGACAACGTAACAAGAATTATACATCTTACCGAAGAATATAACACCAGGATTGAAGACATTATAAGTCTCATTAGAGAATATAATGAAAGAATCAAAGACATCATCATATTGATAGAAGGCATGTCAAACCCACCTCCTACCTAAAGAAACCATGGCTGCTCAAAGAGAGTCGAACCGTTGGACACTACGAGCACCAGCAGAAAGCTCAGATTCAGAACCAGAACCAAGAACTGACACCTTCACATCCGGCGAAGAACAGTACGAAAGCACAGACAAGGGTAGCAGTCCCCCTGCATCACAGACACCAGTAACAGGAACATCGACACCTGTATCGACAACAGAGAGATATAGACGAATAACCCTGACACCCGCATTTACACCTGTAGTGGCTACTTTGATGTATCAATTACCCTAACTAACCATTTACCTGATGCATCAATTCCCCTAACTGCCCAGCCTGCTAGCTGGCTACCAGGAAACATGTACAGTAATTGGCAGCCTTGCTGTCTGCTCGTCGCCGTCAGGGTCTTCCTCACTGCTGTCAGGGTCCTCCCTCAACACTGTTAGGGTCCTCCCTTGCCGCCGTCAGGGTCCTCCCTCTCTCATCGTCCCCTGCTTCCCTTGCCGCCGTTAGGGTCCTCCCTTGCCACCATCAGGGCCCTCCCTCTCATCATCCCCTGCACCCCCTCTCATCGTCTCCTGCCCCCCCCTCGTCATTGGCCTTGCCGATGTCAGGGTCCTCCCTCTCTCATGGTCCCCTGCCCCCTGCCCCCCTCGTCATTGCCTCTCCCATTAGTTGCCGTCCCCTCGTCCCCTCGTCGTTGACGTCTTCATGGCCTTTGTCGTGTTCATGCCCGTCGTCGTCTTCCACCCTCTCGTCGTTGTCCTCGCCTTTGTCATGTTCATGCCCATTGTCATCTTCCACCCTCTCGTCGTTGTGCTCATGGTTTCTGTATCTGGCGATGTTTCTTGGCTTCGTACTTGGCGTTCCTGGCTGTCGCCATGCCATCGTCTTCATGCCCTTCGTCGTCTTCTGCCCCCTCGTCATTGTCATTGTCTTCTGCCCCCTCGTCATTGTCATTGTTGTCGCCCTAGTCGTTGTCCTCGCCGTTTCTCGTGCTGTGTCTGGCTCGTCGTCGTCCTCGCCCTTTATCGTGCTGTGTCTTATGTGTCTGGCTTCATCCTTTTGGCGTGCCTGGTGTTCTTCTTGGCTTTGTTCCTGGCTTCGTACTGGGAAAAAGAAAAGACCCCGCTAAGACTTGCCCCCTCCCCCCACATGCATGGATGCCCTCAACTCCTGGGCGGATATTTTACTCACCAACTAAGTTCGCTAACGCCGCTGAGACGTCTTCGAGACGTTCTGCCCAAGCCGACGTCGGTCCACAGGAAGCACCCCAGAAAAAAAGGGTGGCCATCATGCTTAGAAGGCCGTTTATTCCAGGCTTGGTGATGGGTGTCAAATCCTCCCCTGCAGACGCTGGCAGGAGACTACCCCACCACGCCAAAAAGTCTGCATTGAACTGGAGATTGAACTTACCCACGTCCTTGAACGAGGGCCTCCAAGAAGGCCTGCGTGCATTCTTCAACCACTCCGCTATGCAAGGGGGGCGTTTGAAGCTGGAGAGGTTGGATTGTTTGTCTGCTGGTTTGAAGCTGTGCTGTTGTTCAAATGCCTCCCACAGGCCAACTAGTTTCAGCCATGCGAGGCCCAAGTCGTGTGAACGAAGCATTGTCGAACAGGAGGTGAACCAAGAAGGGAGGGGGTTGGAGGAGCCACAGATGGGTGGCTGGGCAGAAACAGGCACGGTGGGCGACTTCACCTTCGAGATCGACGATTTCGTCAATGGCGCTGACTTGCTGCCTTGAGCTCCAGCATTGGCCGTCGACCGGATCCTCTTTCCTCGTCCTACACAACTTCCCTTGGCAGAAGTCATGCCCCTCCTCTTTTTAGCCCCGCCCCTCTCACCCCCTGCACCGGAATCTACGATAGACGATGATGAAGCCTTCCTTTTCTTTCCAGAAACAGACTCCTCTTCGCGCGCGTCACTGGGACGAATAGGATCTGGAGAATGGGGAGGAGATCCGGGTAGGGAGGGTGGAGGAGATCCGCGCAGGGAGGGTGGAGGAGATCCATGGGCAGAGAGCGGGGAAGCAGGGCGCAAAGGTACTGGGGTAGAAGGGCGTGGTGCAGAGTTGAGAGGGGCCGCGGCAGCAGCCGAAGGATCTATGTCCCAATCGGCCCTGTGCACGGAGACCTTGTTGCCCGTGAGCCGGGATAAAACGGGGTTGGAGGAAGGGAGGGCTTGAGCACGACATTCCGACTTGGCTGAGACAAGAAATGAGAAAACGTATGCAGAATATGGACGAATTGAACGTACTGTAGCATTTTCTAAGGTAATGGCCGAAGAGGGGGGTTATGACCTCTTGAAATCCTTCCCTCTCTGCCTGTCCAAAGTTCATACCCACTGGCCCTTTGATAGAGCCAGCATGCATGCTAAACAGAAGAAAGCCGAGAAATCAGCACCCAGAACGAAGGCATTGAAAGCACGAACGTACCTGATTATGTTTAAATGACCTCCATCAGCAGGCTCAGGTCCACCCACAATTAAGGTGGCTTGCATGTTGGTGTGCACGTGAATGAGATCCAAAATGGGCTGGGCAAAAATCGGAAGGGCCGCAATGCACCTGAAATTATCAGAAAAAGAGTGATGGCACGGCTTTAGGCCAGTGGCTCACCTTTGTCGATCCTCTGGGTCTGTGGACAGGGGCGCAGACAACTTATTCTTCCACTCGTTCAACTTCTCGTCGCCCTCTTTCTTGGCCATTTTGATGTACTTCTTACGCTTGTCCAAGGGCAACGCGTTGAAAAGCGCCTTATTTATTCGTGTGCACTCTGCAGCTTGCAGATTCTTTGGCAGCGGCTTGTAAATGTGTGTGTTGGTGTACGCGTCATTGATTTTCTGCTTGTTGACATGCCCCCACACGTTGTAGGCAATTGGAAGCCGAGGTTTTGAAATGCTGGCGCCAGTAAGCCGCGCCAGCATGATGATTGCGGGATCGTCGGTGTCGGGGAGCGAATCCTTGACTTTCCCTAAGTCAGGGACCTTCTTCTGCCGATAAGCGAGCCAACGCTTGATTTTCTGGGAGACAAAAAGGTGAGCGCCATGCAGATGATGAAAGAGAAGACGAAGCAAGAGTGGCCCATCATGTGATGTGAGGTTCCAACTTGAAATCGGACTTACCTGTTTCTTCTTTTTGATAGCTTCCTTCGTCTGGTTGAACTTCAGCAGCTGGTTGGTGTACTCTTCCTCCGTCATCGTCTCCTTTTTGGGTGGCTCTAGTTCCTCGTCTGGCTCGTTATCGTTGACACTGGCAAGCGTCTCTTCTGTCGGCTCTACGTTGTCCGCCAGGTCCACTGGATAACGTTTGAAGTATCGCCGCCAAAGGTCCAGAATGAAGTTGTCCTCTCTGTTGTTTACGACTGCCTTCGTGTACGCTGGCAATTCACCCTCTAGAAACTTCAAGCGGCTTCCGGCGAAGCCACCAGGATTCAGCATCTGTGTAAGGTTCGGGTTGGTTAATCTGTCATCCAGGACGAAGCCCGTATGCTCACCTTTGCTTAGGTATGCTGATGACGGGCGCGGATACAACGACGTGCACAAAGAGAAGATTGACCAGAACGAAACAGGCGAGGTAGGTGAATTTGTTTGAACATTTTATTTCGAAATACTGGCAGGGCTCGTTGATACGCGTTGCACGGGGATGAACGTGAAAGTGCGAAACACGCAAACAAGGATCAAGTGCGTCGGGGGAAAACCCTACACACCTAACACTCACTCACTCACACACACACACACACACTATCACAATCTCAGTGCAAGAGTTCGAGGGCCTTTGGTATTAAGAAATACCACTTTTGTCTTCTTAGGTCTAAGTCTCAAGAGTTTTCGTTCAAAATTGGGTTTTTATTATAAGGTGTGGTTTAGAATAGTTCAATAGAACAAAGTATATCTTTCTGGGAACTTGGTCTCTTAAATGCAAAGTTCTTTGATCACAGTTTCTTTATTTAACACAAAACACGACTTTAATTGACTTTTATGACTCCAGTGAGTTTTTATTATGTCACTACGCTCCAAAACCAAGGGTACGAGTACGCTGTCTCGTCTAAAATGATACTGTGTCCTTAAAACCTCTTATTCAAAAGTCTCCAAGCAAGTTGACTCCCAAGCACGCTGGCTTCGTTCACACTGTACTTATCTGACCACGAAGAAATCTCCTTTTAATTGATTACAACTGTCCACCTCCTAAGTCTCTACTTGGAGTGCAACTAGCTGGTCAACGGGGGGGGCGATTACTTCCTTTTGACCTGCCAGCACGCTCCTTATATACTCCAGGAACCCCTATCTACGTTTTACATGTGTTTTAATGCGGGATACTTCGGTCCGAATTACAAATATGAAATTTAATGAACGTGTGGTATATTTTGTAGTCTATCTCTGTGAACACTACAGATTTTGTAGTGTCGCGTCTTTCATTTTCAAACGCATCAGTGTTTGATGCGTACGCGGAGTTAGCCGACGTAGCTATTCTTAGCTTGGCATGATCTCGCGTGTTTCTTTCTATGGCCCGGTTTACCGGTTTGACAGATGACATCACAAAATGATTAACGTTTCCTGATGCGTTGATGCGCATGCGTACGTGTTTACCAATAGTCTTCGGCCTTCCGTCGCTTCCGAGTTTTTAATTAAAATGCCTTGTCTTGGCTCGTCTTTTCATTACAGAAGTCGGGAGACACTCCGAAGGTGTTTTCAAATGTCTTTCTTAATTGTCAGGGGGTTCTTATTATATTTCATATAATAGAATGTGTCTTTTTCTCATCTTTGTACTTGTGACATTCAGACGCATCAGTCTTTGATGCGTACGCGGGAACTGCCGTACATGACTTTCTGAATGGCCATGAGCCACGCTAAGTCTTCATACGTTTACTACCTAGGTGTAGTTTAGTCTTTCCATGTTTCAGACATGCCATTTAAGCGTCTATGTCGTCTTTTCTGTATTTCTTGTATAAGCACGAGTTTTCACAATAAATCCATTATGTGTTTCTAAACCCTTTGGTAGTAATGCAATTCTTCTCCCTGCGTTGGGTGTTTACTCTAGAACCTCTTCGTGCTCTATTTCATGGTAGGTGAATCTTAGATAGGATCCAAGTATAATGTCACGATGCGTACTGCTGCCAGTTCCAAAGCCTTGTCCTATTTTCAGATTCCACGCATTTGCATTTTTAGTCAACTGCGCCGGGTATGCGCATTGACTCTTTGTATCATTGCAATTGTATGTAGTGTATTTATTAGAGATGACCTTTTATCGGTAAAATCGTTAAAATTGAATTTTATACGGGTGAAATGGTTTCATCCGTATCATCGTGTAGGGCTCAAGTTTCACCAATTTTTCACAACACACGGCAACAATCAGGGCCCTTACACTTGGCCAGATTTCGTTGTTGGGACTAACAGTCACAAGGCTCCAAATGAGAAAGATCTAGCAGTAAGTTACCCGATTCTATCGCCTCCGGTTCCCGTGCAAAATCGATTTTTGGCCAGATTTCGTTGTTGGGACTAACAGTCACGAGGCTTCAAATGAGAAAGATCTAGCAGTAAGTTGCCCAATTCTATCGCCTCCGGTTCCCATGCTAAAATCGATTTTATAAAGATCGATTGCCCCCAACATCTACTCCCACCAAACCATGATGAAATCGCCCTACAGGCCGTCGCCCACTGCTTTCTCGACGCAGTCCACCATGTCCTCGTTGTCGGACACTGTTTCTTCCCTTTCTTCTACAATTTCCCCTTCGCCCTCCATTGCTTCTGCCCCCTCAACTCCCAAGAAGCAAGTTTCTTCAAACTTTAGCGGTTAGTAGCAACCCGCTTCCTTCGAACGAATTAACCAACGCTTCTCAGGCCACTATGTCTCGCCGGGTGCAGGTCTCTTGCTTCGTACACCCCCCACCTTGCTTCGCTCCCCCCCCCCCTCAAAGCAGGGACCACCCCTTGGCTCGCCATTCAAAACAATCAAAAAAAAGAAAACAACGGCCATCACCATTGATGGTGGGTAGCCCTTGGTCATTTTACGCATTCCTCGACTAACGGATCCATTGAACAAACAAAGACCCCTTCGTCGAAGGTGGGGACGCAGCAATCGTGATTCAAACCAAGCACAGCATAAAGGTCCGCCTGCCCACACCCTCTCCCGCCCAACCATCAACCCCCAAACGTGCTCCTGTGGCTGAGCCTTTGATCACCCAAGAATCCCCCAGGGCCAGAACTACGCACAGCAGTGTGGCAGAGCCCCAGGCCACACAAGTGACGGCCAACAACAAGCCCATTTACTACATCCCCCACCCAGACAAGTTCATTGCACAGAGGGCATCGTTCCCTCACACCACCTACGTGATTACCAAGGGAGAAGAAGTAGGGCTTTTCTCGGCATGGTACGTACCCCGTACAACCCACTACCATGCCTCTGACACGTTGTACCAGGCACGACACGGCCATTCGAGTTCAAAACATTCTGGCCCCAAAGGGCCGCATCCAATATATTTTGCAAAGCTTCCCCACCTTTGAAGCAGCCTTCGACGTGTATGCCCATGTCTACAACATGCGTACCCTTGAGCCCATCCCCATTTCTGGGGGCCGCTTCGATGTTCCCATTAATAGGTTTTTTGACGACCAGCCTAATTCAGACGGCAAGTGGGACTCTGATTCTGCACGGGCAGATCAAGACGATTGTGAGGGCTGGGTTTTTGCGGACTCTGACAAAGAAATCCAAGTTCGCACAAGTTGCACAGGCACTTGGTAGGGACTTGTTCAACAGGCTCAGCTGATCTTGCTCATCAAAAATCGTAGATTCAATGATGCGGCCTTGCGGTTGGACCGGCTGTCTTTCTATTGTGCTTGTCCCTGCCTGAATCTACTCCAATGTGACTGCCCCTGTTTGAATTTGCTAGATACCCATCCTCTACTCAATAAATCTTTTTTTGGTGTACTTCATCTGAACTGCCAAGTAATCAGATCCTGCACTACTCCGCCACCGAAAATTGAACACGTTTCAGCCAAGTATCAACACACTGCCACCACCCCAACTGCTCGCCGTGCTAGACTATACCAAGTGCAGAAACCTTTTATTCACTATCGGCTGAGTTTCCAGATTCAAGGCTTTTGCTAGCTCCATCCATGGCAGCCAGTATTGGGGCAAGTTCCTTTGCCGAAACACGCAGCTTCTCGGTGTTTCTAAAACCCTTTCAGAACAATTCAAATAAAATTTGTCTAACTTACTTAGGATCTCGCTGCCACACCTGAAAATTTATTTGGGCCTGGTGGGTCCCTCGGTACTTGGCCGCCGCGGCTCTATGTCTCGCCTTCCTGGCGTCCGCTTCTTCTGGTGTCTCATTTTGTCGCCGGTACTCCCTCAAACTGTAACAGCATGTGAGTGCCTTCCGCCCCATTCTTCGGCCATGTTATGACATACTGTTGAGCTCTTTCCCGGGCCTTTCTTTGTAGAGCCTCTTGGTTTCTGCAGTTTTTTAGCCACTCAGGAGAAAGGTGTGCTCAAAAAATGAATGGGGCGCACCGATAATAATAAACGACACAGTGATCTTTGTGGTTGGGATGAGCTGCCTTACCCATGATCGCTTATGTGGGCTCGTCTCATCAAACCAATATATATATATTATCTGGTCTGAAGGGTCCACTGTGAGGGCCACAACTGTTGCAGATTCAGCTGCAGATATCCCCGTCAGATTCGGAAGGATCGTTTTTTGAGATCTCAAATGATTTCGCGAGATTTCGAGTGATTTCGCGAGAACTTAATGCTATCCACACTGGAACGTGTAGAACAGGACAATTAAATATCTAGAGGATAGCGGAGGTGACTATAGAATTTTATATATCATCCATTTGGTAGGAAGAAGAGTGTTGAAGCGTTGACCTGAGGCTCTCGCGTGATCTGCCTGGGTATTCTGTAGCCGAAGTTCATTAAGTAGCTAGTCTCTCAGTGCTCTCAGTTCTATTGTATACATGCAAGCCATTCACCCATTAAGTTCATCTGCATGGATTCAAGGAAAATTAAGTAGCTAGTCTCTCAGTACTCTCAGTTGTATTGTATACGTTCAAGCCATTCACCCATTAAGTTCATCTGCATGGATTCAAGGAAAAGGGCATTGCAATATGTACATGCTAAATGGTATATACAGCTGCGTCGTGTTTACAGGGCTATTGAAATTCATCGATGGTGGAAAAAAGAGAGAGTCCAAACGCCAATCGATCACGACCTTCTTCAGCTGCTGCCTGCTGCTCCTCCTCAGACAGAGACGCGAGGTATTCGTCTGCCTTTTGGAACCCGTAATCGACCCACCGAAATGTCCCCCCAGCCGTATACTGCGTAAAGGAATAGCGTCGCTCTTCCTTCTGAATTGAGGTGTTGGAATGGTCTAACGACGCCGAAGGAATAAAGATTGTGGATCCGGGGGGGAACTCAATGACCAATCCAAGGTCCCAGAGAACCAAGTGGCCGCCCTTTTTGTAGTCGTAGTTACCAAGCGCCGTGATGGCACACCAGCCAAAGGGTAGGTTGGCGTGGTCGCGATGTCGATGGCATATGGTTTGCGGGCCAAAGTTGAAGGCACAGGCAGCAAAGACGCTGTTTTCAAAGTTACGGGTGAGGGTCTCATCGTGGTTAGTGTTTAAAGGTTCAGTTCAGTCCGGTTTTTTGCCCCGAAAACGCGCAACCGTGGACCGCAACCGGTCCAGGACCGACCCAGATATTGAGGGAACCGAACCGAACCACCTAGGACCGGTCTTTTGCGGTCCATGATACCGGTTCAGACCGATCCAGACCGGTTTTTTTGCGTATAATTTATTATATCAATATAAACCATTTGTATCTCAACCATTATTACTCTGAAAAATAAACGGGTTATATAAAATAGTAAAGCATATAAATACCCGTCATTCTACCAATTTTCAAGAGATTTAATGAAGATTTGACATAGCTATGACTGAAACTGAATTACATCTCCTAGAGACTCGGGTAAAATATGGATTTGGTTATATCTTTCTCAATTCTTAACCGTTTTTGATGAAACAAAAATCCAATAAAAGGCAATAAACGTGGTTACAAGGCTACGTAACGCACGTGACCGTTTAACTGGTTGCAACCGATTAAAACCGGTCTTTGAACGGTTTTAAAAGATTTTCGAAATGAGGCAACCGGCAACCGGACCAACCCCAAATTGGGGCAACTGCAACCGAAAAAAAGACCGGACCATGGTCCGGTTCAGTTCGGTCCACCGGTTTTTTGCGGTCCTATGGACTGAACCTTTAAACACTAGTCGTGGTCTAGGAGCTTCTGTAGGTGGTCGGCATAGTAGGAGTGGAGCCTAGGTGCCC